TGTATTATGAGATTGAAATTACAATATGTGAACAAAAATAAGAAAACATTATTGGAATTATATGGAATAAATACCACAATAAATATGTGGAAGCTGAAAGTAGAAAAAGGAGAAGACAAAGGGTGTTTCATTTATCTATAATCATTTATTACAACTTGGCCACATGATAACATTGTCCTTTGAATTTATGAAGCCAAACATCTCTTAGAAACTATGACTTTGAGTCCATGTTTCATGTGAAGGACCATTGAAGGAACTTGCTCGATCTTGTGCCCTTCAGCGATTGTGATGTCATAATTTTGTATGATCTCAACAGCCACTGTCTTCATTTGTAAGAAAGACAGATTTTTCCCCAAGCAATTTCTAGGACCAGAGTTAAACACGAAGAACTTGAAAGAAGGTTCGTGTTTTAAGCCTCCATTTCTTTCAGAGATCCATCTCTCTGGTTTGAATTCAGACGCGTCCTCTCCCCACACGGCTCTCATTTTTCCCAACGCATAGACAGAGAACAGAATCTTCCACTTAGCATCGACTTTGTGTCCACTAGGAAGCACAGCTTGCTTGATGGGAGACTTTCGCTCGAACGGGATTGGAGCATATATAGAGCCTTAATGATTCACATAATGCACCATGAAAATACACCATCTTGCTTAACTCCTCTGTATCTAAACTCTTTCCAGGTCTTGGTAGATTTGTGTTGATCTCTTGGCGTATCTTGGTCACAGCTTCAGGGTTCTCGGAGAGAAGCCAGAAGAACCAAGTGAGAGTTGTGGCAATAGCGTCTCTTCCGGCAAGCATGAAACTCTTGATGATGTCTTTGAGGAAGTTATCGTCTTTTGGGTTCAAAATCTCATACTTAGAAGTATCTAGATTCATGTAGAAGCTTAGTAAATCCTCATCATGAGCTTCTTCTCCATTATTGGAGTGATGACGACTTTGCATCTCCTCTCTTTTTGCAAATATATACTTTGCACATGATCTGTCAAAAGCAGCATTAGCTTTAATCATCTTCTTCTCTTCTCCGATTCCAATCCAGTTTTGTAGCTTCCACAAGATCATAGGCTTAACATGTCTAACCACAACAACTTCTTCAGCATCATCCATAGCTTTCGCATATTCGTTCTTCGTCATATCCTTTTTTTTTTTTTTTGAAAATACTGTAAATAAAGAGAGTTAGAATCGTAACCCGTTACCAGAGTTAGGGTTACATCGAACGCTAACCTCTGGAAAACGTCTTGTAAATCTAAAACCGTATTGGCCTCTACAAAATGATCAAGAACTGGCATAAGCCCGCCCTTGATTTTACTTGTGATGGTCTTCAATGAGAAGCCTTGAAACCTTCGATGGCTAAGCATGACCAGTGCGGATTTCCTCATTTCCTCCCAGAGTTTCGAATCAGCAGTGAAGATCCCTTCTCCAAGAAAATCAAAGATCTCTTTGAACTCCGATCCTTTGTCATAATTGGAGAAGTTAGATCTGGAAACGTGTTGAATGTTTGCAGGATCTTCAGTGATCAACATGTTCATTCCAGAGAACAATGGGCCTTTGAATGCAAAATTCAAGTTGGAGACCTCGAGAATCTCCACGACGTAGTCATTAATCCTATGAAGCATGCCGAGCACACCAGGAAGCATCCCGAGAACAGGCCAGTTTCTAGGTAAGATTTGATGAGGTTTCTTGTGGATCAAGTAACGGAAGAAGATATAGACATGGAAAGCAATAAAGACTTCAAGTAAGCCTATGCAAGCCATAAAGTAAAAAGATTTGTTTTTCTTGGATATTACCAAAGATAGAAAGACAAGAAACTGGTTTTGTTTTTGGTATATATATATATATAGCTACTTGAAACCTATAGA